ACAAGACAGGAAGACAGACAGAAAAATATAAGAACCAAAGTCTCCCCTGCAACACTAACTCAGCTTTACACTATAAATTATTTCTCTAGCAGTTAGAGCCAAAAAGGTTAAGCTAACAGCCAAGGTTTAGCACCAATGTGAATAACAGGATTACTGGATTCGTAGCCAAGATGATCACAGTTTATTACTGTGCAAGGTTGCAGAAATAATAAGACAAAGAACTGTGAAAGAAAAGACTGTCCATGTTCAGTATAATCAAAGCGTCGCCGTGAAAGAAATGGCCCTCTCCAGTCTGACTTCCAACTGCTCACTCACTATAAAAAGGTATTAGTAGCTACTTCTCGTAGCACACTTCCTAGGCACGTAAGCGCATTTCATAAACCACACTAAGCTAATTAATAAAAACAGTTTTAAAAAAAGATTAGCGCAGACATAATAAAATATTACTTTTAAAGTATTTTACATTATTTGATTGATTTTCTCCTGGCCTATTTGCTTCTTAATGCACGTAGATGGAATTTTTCTTTCATCGTTAAGCAAAAATAATGGGGAAAAAAAAATAATTGGAAGGACAATGCAAACAAACAGTTTAACAGGATACGACAAATTAGTTCTGGGTATTGAATAAGTAAGCTTCCTTGCAAGGTCACTGGTCTGAGATAAATCATGGAAAATGTCAGCAAAGAAACTTGAAGAGCAGAGGTCTCAGCCGTATGTCTTCCTAGTATGTCACATTTTTCAGCACATATGATTATTATATCTAATATTGCCCTTTTTCAGGTAACTAGAGACAAGCAGGTCCAGCAAAGCACCTTAGGCAACATGGGTAAGGAGCACCCCCAAACCAATATCCTAGAGAATAAACCGAAACAAAATACAGCAACGAGCAACCTTCATGGTACTACAAAATAAATAATTTAAAAAAAAAAGTAAATCAACGGCTGGACAGACAGCTGCCTGAAGTAAATACATTTTTCTTTAGCTGTCATGAGCACAGCATTCCCAGAGCTCCTGTTTCACTTTATTCAACTGAAAGAGCATATTTTGATTCACTTATTCGGACTAAGGGGGTCTCACAGTTTGATATAAACGAAGTTCACACGAACCGTACCCAAAACGCCTTTTGATCAGTACCCTTACTAAAAATTTCCTTTCCAACAAGGTGATACACTAAGAAACACCTAAACACCACGTCAAGTAGCTTTAATCTTTCTAGACTTGCCCGTGACCCGTTTGAGAAGCGCGAGGGTCGTTCACGGACTCCTATGCCTTGAAAGAAAGCAAAGGCTCCTGGTTTACGGAAATTAATCACGACCTTAAAGCAAAAAAAGCCGCTGAAAACGCAGGGCCCTGACAAAAACCCCGGCCGAGGCCCGCCGCCCCCGGAGGGGCTTCACCT